TTTTTTTTTTTTTTTTTTTGAAACATATGAATATATTGGATTGATATTTTTTTCATTACGGCTGGCTATGAATGAAGCTCTGATTCGATGTTACGAATGAGGAGCTCTATCAAAAATGAAAACAAAAGTGGGATTGAAAGTCCAAGAAACATAAGTGAGCTCGAAAGTCTAGGAAACATAGGTGGGATCAAAAGTCCGAGTGAGATCTAAAGTCCGATCTTCATTCATGTTCACCGTATTTAAATTTAATAAAACTAAATTCTAAAAATGAGTGATTCTACTCACCAAATCTTATATCAAATATACTATTAACCAATTCTTACCGAAAATCTAACTTTTTCTATCTAAAAATATTCCAATAATTACATTATTCCAAAAGCTAAGAAATATAATGAAACTATCATCGTGAGCATGTTTGGTTGTTGTCCGAGTCTATATTGTAATTTGAGTATTAAATTTAGTTTAAGATGACACAATATCTACCGCTTGAATAGATATAAAAATATTATTACTAGAAACTGTTGAGATATAATATTTTGAGAATATATTAGTTATGGAATATATCTTAGATATTATATCCTAATATTTTTTTCTTCCTAATTTATGATTTGATTTGTAGTATATTTTATTTTATCCTCAATATTTAATTAGTTTATATTTTCGTTTTAGTTGGTAGCTTGTATTCTATTTAAAGGTTATGAATATTAGTGAGAATACACCCCTTAGATTCCAATTCTATTTCTATTTCTATTTTTCATTCTTAACCCAAACAAAACAGAGTTGTGCATGAGAAATAGAAAGAACAATTCTAGTTCTATTTCTCATTCTTAAGGGAAACAAAACAGAGTTAAGAATGAGAAATAGAATTGGGATCGGAGGTTCAATCATGATTGATATTCACATTTAAACAGGATACAAGCTATCAACTAGTACGAGGAAAATATAAACTAACTTTGACAATAAAATAAAATATAGTACAAATCAAATCATACAAAAGAAAATATTAACTTATTACTAATATTTTAAGATATATTCTATAACTAATATATTATCCAAATATTAATTGATTACGAATATCTTAACTAATTCAAACTAGCAACAAGTTGCACTCAATTACGAGAGTCTCCTCTGGTGCAAGCTTATTTCTCAATAACTCGAAGAGGCTTACGAAAAACTTCAAACTTCACTTTGGCAAGTGCTTCAGTAAATATGTCTGCAACTTGCTCATTAATATGTATTTTCTGCGATAACACTTTCTTCCAATATGCAATGATCATACATTTCGGATGATCCACTCACATTTTTCTTCTTGTTTACCATGACCTTTAAAACTCCACTTTTCCCCTGAACCCTGATTGCTCCTGATTCCTGCATTTTGATTCGGCAATTTGGCTTAATATGGCCTAGCTTTCCGCAACGATCACACACCACTTTCACTCGACAATCTCGTTGGAAATGGCCAGGTTTTCCACACTTGTAACAAACTTTAAATGGCTCCTTTGACGACTCCACACTTCTTAATCGATTCTCGTTGCTTGATGAAGGCTATGAATGAAAATTCTGTCTCCTTTGATCTTTGACGTGCAACACATCTTCTGACTTTAGGGAAAACTCGTTGCTGCTAATCATTTGCTTAATCAAAGCATTCTGATTAGAAAGCAAATTCTCCAATTCAATAAATGCAGGCCGATTTGTCCACCCTTGTATTGAGGAAACAAGGGGCATAAAGTCTTTTCGTAATCCACGACTAAGACAACGCCATAATCGAGCTTCCCTCACTGGCTCCTCAGCATCTAATTCTAAAATTTTAGAATACTGATTTTTCACTTTCAAGAAATATTCTTCAACATGTCAGAATACTGATTTTTCACTTTCAAGAAATATTTTTCAATAGAAAAATTACCTGAGTTACCACAACTAGTTCATTATCTAGAAATTGCAATCGAGCTGTATTTTAATTAGTGAACAGCTTTTGAAGTGTTTCCCACACTTGCTTTGGTGACTTTAAATCACGAACATGATCAATATATTCCTTGCTAATCAAAGTTCGCATGGTAAATAGAGATTTTTCACGTTTGATTTTTCATTTTCGGCGTAATTCATCATTTTGTGGAGTATCTGCTGGAATTTCTGTGTCATCACCTTCAATTAAATCGCACAAATCTTGCGCCTGTAGATAAACTTCCATACATAATTTTCAATAATTATAATTATTGCCAACAAGCTTTTCCATAGCTATACCCAGAGAAGCACTTCCACCATTCATCTTGTTGAGTAATAATATCAAATCCTTAGTTACCAACTTGACTCTAATACTAACTGACACAATATCTACCCCTGATAGAAGAAGTGTGTATAGATCTGAAAATATGAGAAATGAAATAGAATTGGGATCGAAGGTTTAATCTTCACTGATATTCACAGAGTTAAAATAGGATACAAGCTACCAACTAATACCTACAAAGGAGTAAAATATAAACTAAGTCTTCACAATAAAAATAAAATATACTACTAATCAAATCATGAAAATATTAACGGATTACGAATATATCCATAGCTAATATATTCTCCCAATATTAACTGATTACTCATCAAATCATGAAAATATTAACCAATTACTAAGAATATATACATAACTAATATATTCTCCCAATATTAACTGGTTACGAATATGGCTAATTCAAACTAGCTCTATGTTTCACTAAATTAGAATTTTATTTGGTTGGGGTAGGCTGAAACTACTATGACCCCTTGATCGTAGCTCGCTGGTCCCTCTGAGATTCTAAATTAGAATTTTACTGGTGGAATTCGCTCACCCAATCTTAGGTCAAATAACTTAAACTTATTTCTAATAATTTAAACTAACGTAATTTTACGTACAATAAAATTTAAACCATGTACTAATAATTTAAACTCGATAAAACTAAATTTGCATAAAATAATTTAGAGTTGACTCCAAATAATTTAAACTAGCTTAGCATAATTTTGCATAAAATAATGCAAAAATAATTTAGAGTTGACTCCAAATAATTTAAACTAGCTTAGCATAATTTTGCATAAAATAATGCAAACTTAACTCTAAATAATTTAAACTAGATTTAAACTAGCTTAGCATAATTTTGCATAAAATAATGCAAACTTAACTCTAAATAATTTAAACTAGTTAAACCTAATTTTACATAAAATAATACGTAAACTTGACTACAAAAATTTTAAACTAATCAGCTAAAATGTTGTCCTACTAACCTTAAAAGCTCACGAAGAGTTGAAACTAGTAGAAAATGGTCCGAGCGTATCAGGCCTAAGCCGGATCAGCCGAATTATCAGTCTGGAGTTCACATTTGAACTCATATTACTTAATTCATAGTTCATATTCGAACTCCACTCAATTAAAAATTATCGAATGCCCCAAAATTCATAAAAATAAGAATTTGAAGTCACATATAACGAACCATTTATCCTTGTATTGACATCGTAGAAGACCTTCAAAAACTTTACACTAACATTTTTTCAATCATCAATGGTTGTGACCATATAATTTTGTTTCCATTATTGCTTTCTTTGAATTACTCAACATAATCTAATTCTTCCTCCAATAGTTGGAAGGGTTTGTCAAATTTTGAGGCATGAATAAGCGTTAAATAAGTGAAATTTCATTTAGTTGCAACATCCAAGCAAACAAGTGTTTTACCTTCAATTTTTTCTTGTTCAACACAATCTATAAACCTTTGTAATCTCTCACGGGATGATCTAACATACCTTATTACATTAGTAACACTAGAAATGGAGTCATGTATTTTTTTAAGCCTCTCATTCACAATCAAGTTAATTAGGTGGGCACAACACCTCATGTGTAATATATCTCCATCATCAAAGACGAGTGAATTCTAACTTCAAATCCTTCTGGTAACATATGAAATATCTATATGATTGAAACTTGCATTATCAATTGTGATAGAGAAAACTGTAACGATCCTCCATTCCAATAAACAATAGTCAATGATCTATACGTCTAAGTTTGTAACTTAGATTTTTTAAATCAACGATGAAGTTTGAATTTTTAAAAAATAAATATTTAATTAAAACTTTAACTCAGACCTTTTAGGTTTGCTGCCTATTTAGTTCAAAATTTTACTTAAGTTTCTTCCACTTTTAACTTGTACTCAGTTTTGTCTTAAAAAGTTTGATCGGTCGTCAATCTTTTAATTTTAATTTTATGTGTGATAGATTTAAATTTCATTTTTGTTTAATTATCCTAGATTTTTAAAATTCACATTTATTTTAAATTTATAAATCCAATAGTTTTCTTTTTCTATTGACATAATATTAAAATTTATATTTCCTAAAACAAAACTAATAAAAATTCAAATTAAAAAAGAATCCAAGTTGGAATCCTATCCTTCAAGGATTAGGAAATTCAAAAACAAATCAAAACCCTTTTATCTTCCCAATTGGGAAAGCATGGTAACCTATAAAACCAAACCTCTCACCCTTCCACCATTCAACAATTCCAATTCAGAATTTGTTCCACAATGGCGCCTTCAACCAAATCTCCTTCCTCTATTGTTCTTGCTGTTCTTCTTGTTCTTGTTTCAGTTATTGGCTGTCCTTCATCCACAGCCCATCTACTCAAAACCTGCATGTTCGACGCTATCTACCAACTGGGTGACTCGATTTCGGACACTGGAAACCTCATTCGTCAAAACCCCAACACCCCATTTTCTCATCTTCCTTACGGTGAAACGTTGTTCAACAAATCCACTGGCCGCTGCTCCAATGGTCTTCTCATGATTGATTACTTTGGTATCCCTTCCTTCTAACCTTTTATTCTACTAATATTCTCAAGCCCCCCAAATTGGTGTCTAATGATATGACCATATTCCCCTTTCAATTTGCAGCTTTGGACGCTGGACTTCCCTTGGTGAACCCTTATTTGAACAAAGATGCATTGACAAGGCATGGTGTGAATTTCGCAGTGGCTGGTTCTACGGCTTTGTCTTCTCAGCTTCTTTCTCAAAAACAAATCTTATCTCCGGTCACCAACTCTTCTCTCAACCAACAACTTTATTGGATGTTCTCTCATTTCAACTCCATTTGCTACAACCAAAGAGGTTTCTAATTTCTCTCCAATTAATTATATTTTGTTTTATATATGTTCATTTTAATTTCTATTATGCTCCTATCTTATAGATTGCAATGAGAAATTAAGGAATGCTTTGTTCTTGGTGGGCGAGATTGGTGGGAATGATTATAATTACGCTTTGTTTCAAGGCAAAACTATTCAAGACGTGAAAGATATGGTGCCCCAAGTTGTTCAAACCATAAAGAACGCGGTTGAGGTAACTTTGCGTTTATATATTTATTTGAATTAGAGTTTTTTACTTACCTCTGAAGTTTTTTTTTTCTTTTTTGGTGCAGAAAGCGATAAGCTACGGAGCTACTCGAGTTGTTGTTCCTGGAAACTTTCCAATTGGATGTTTACCCATCTATCTCACTGGATTCCAAACCAATGATACAACCGCCTACGATGAACTTCATTGTTTGAAAGATTTGAATGGCTTGGCTACTTATCACAATGATCAAATCAAGGAAGCTATTGAAGTGCTCAAGAGAGAGAATCCACACACCATGATCGTATATGGTGACTACTATAATGCATTGTTGTGGATCCTTCGTCGTGCTTTTATACTCGGTATGTTTTTCTTAATTATTATGAGCTTAGTTCAAAAGAATAGAATAGATATCTTAATTATTCATGTGTGTGGTATTTAGGTTTTGATGAAACTTCTTTGCAAAAATCATGTTGCGGGATTGGAGGAGACTACAACTTCAGCCTCATGAAGATGTGCGGAGTTGGTGGAGTATCAGTTTGTTCAAATCCAGATGAACGTGTTAGTTGGGATGGAATCCATTTGACTCAAAACGCTTACAAATTCATGGCATATTGGCTCATTCACGACATCCTTCCACAACTTCATTGCATTGTTTGAATTTTGTTTTAGTTGTTTATTTTTAGTTTTTGGCTTCCCTATTTGGTTTTTTTTTTTTTTTTTTTTGAAACATATGAATATATTGGATTGATATGTTTTTCATTACGGCTGGCTATGGCTATGAATGAAGCTCTGATTCGATGTTAAGAATGAGGAGCTCTGTCAAAAATGAAAAACAAGAGTGGGATTGAAAGTCCAAGAAACATAAGTGAGATCGAAAGTCTAGGAAACATAGATGGGATCAAAAGTCCCAGTGAGATCTAAAGTCCGATCTTCATTCATGTTCACCGTATTTAAATTTAATAAAACTAAATTCTAAAAATGAGTGATTCTACTCACCAAATCTTATATCAAATATACTATTAACCAATTCTTACCGAAAATCTAACTTTTTCTATCTAAAAATATTCCAATAATTACATTATTCCAAAAGTTAAGAAATATAATGAAACTATCATCGTGAGCATGTTTGGTTGTTGTTCGAGTCTACATTGTAATTTGAGTATTAAATTTAGTTTAAGATGTAAATTTAGTTTAAGATGACACAATATCTTCCTTTCAAAAGTGTGAATAGATATAAAAATATTATTACAAAAAATTATTGAGATATAATATTTAGAGAATATATTAGTTATGGAATATATCTTAGATATTATATCCTAATATTTTTTTCTTTGATTTATGATTTGATTTGTAGTATATTTTATTTTATTCTATTTTTAATATTTAATTAGTTT